CTTGCAGGTTTTGTTAAGCGTATGCATCTTGCATGTTCTGCACCTTGGAGTAAATACTCCAAATTGTATACAAAATGTGCTATAATTAACAGTAACTTTTCCAAAGACCTATACCAGTTGGAAGTAAATATTCAGGGAAAAAAAGATACTTATGTTGTTAAATATAATCTTTTCATTCGTTTCGGAAAAAGGAAAAATAACAAAAGTTTCGCAACAGTTATTTCTGTAGTGAAATCTATGCTAGCTATATTATTTTAAACTACTGTTAGTTCTATTACATCGGTTATCTTTAAGGGGACTCATACACCTTAAAACCCATAAGATGTTCGAATAGGTGACTGTTGCAAGAATTGAGATGACTTATTTATTTTAAAAGCAATCACTACCAACTTTTTACAGCTGACTACATAACATAGCTGCTTTCTGAAATAGTAATCAGAAAGTTTGTGTTGCCAACAAATATTTTTAATAATTTAATCCGTTTTTGTGACAACATTTTTCGTCATGTTTCCAACTTGCGCGCACAGTTTTAAAACATTCTGTTCATAATTTAATTCCATATTTAATATATAGCTTTTATAACATGTGGAAACTACTGTGAACCTAAAATTCTAAAATTTTCACGCTAAATTTTTATTTTATTTTGAGTTGAGTTTATAAAATGTATTTTATTAAAAAAAATTTTAATTTTTTCGTCCATAAAATTTTTTAATATTAAAATATTCACCAGATTGTTGCTTCAGTTAGAAAATAGTGCCCTATAAAGAATTCCATCGAATCTCAAGTATGTACCATTAGCCATTTTTAAAATATCATGCGCGCAAGGTGGAAACATGGCGAAATATTTTGTCACAAAGAGGATTAAATTATAAAAATATTTGTGGCAACACAAACGTTCTGGTTACTAGTTTCCAAAGCAGCTATATTATTTAGTCAGCTGTAAAAAATTGGAAGTAATTGCTTTTAAAATAAATAAAATATTCGAATTCTCGCAACTGTCACATGTTCGAAGATCATGAGGGGTTTAAGGTGTACGAGTCCCCTTAAATCATTTTATGATAATTTCTTTTAATCTTTCTCTAGAAAGTCTCAGTTGTGGAGACATTAGGATTTTTTTTGGAAGTAAGAGACATTGAAAAATGAGCAACGCCTTCGCCGGGAATCGAACCGCGAACCTCTGAAACACGCACCCAGCGTGCAGATCACCACACCATGAAGGCATGCCAAGAAGGCGGAAGAAATACCTTATCTACTCCCCCTTTTAAAGGGCGACTGGGGTTTTAGGGGAAAAATCTCCAAATCCTGGGTGTGCAGAATCATCATCCAACACCCTTTTTAGTTCGGGCGCCAGTGTAGAGACATTAGGTATTTTTGGAAGCAGGTAAGATAAAAAATTAGCAACGCCTTCGCCGAGAATCAAACCGCGGACCTCTCGCGCCCAGCGTGCAGACCACCACACCACGAAGACATGCCAAGGAGGCAGGAGAAATACCTTATACAGTTAGCTTTTGTAGGATTTCTGTAAGATAATGTGCTGATCCTCATTTTTAGTTTAAAGAGGCTAGGACTAAAAAAGAAGCCAGGACTTCGTTTTGCGATTTTGCGTTGTAGCAATCTGTTGCATCTTGCTTATCTTCTTGCTTTTAAGCAAGAAGAAAGGAGATGAGGACTTTGGCGAACGCCGTTTCCTCCAGTCCGTGAGCACTTTGCGTTGAATCACTATAAATGTCCGTTTCATTTTTCAAACTGTTGCCACCCAATGTTAGAGTTCTGCATTATATTTAAAGAAATTAAATAATGAAAAATCTGCACAAATGTATGTCTATTTCTCGCATTGTGATAAAGCAACAGTACCTAGAGCAGTAGAATTTTGAATTACCTAATCCTCCTACAAATATAGGCATGTGGAAGAACCAAATTTGAAATTTAGAATTTGTTTTATGATCGATTTCATATTTGTAAAACTTTAACGAATTTTTGAATAACAAACTGAACGATTTAAAAGCGAGCAATGGTAACAGCGGAAAAAAAAAAAAGCCCTTTTTATCTCCAGCGCGCGGAATTGTGTATCGGAAATTCTAAAGATATGCTCATTTTAAAATTATTATGCGACATTGCTATTGAACTGAATTTTATGGTTTAAGTGCGAAGAACGTGATATTTAATAAATAAAGGTAACGCACAAAACGTTAAAAAAAACGCCCTTTTGAACGTAATTTAAAATCTGAAGCATTTCAGATGTTTTTGGTCAAGTTTTCTACTTCTCAGATTATTACTTTATAAGTTTGAATTACACCTTCTGCGCTGCTTTAATACAGCTTGATGGTTTCTTTTCCAATTAATGTAATTCAACTACTTTTTTCTGCACTACATATATCTAAATGTCAACATTTATTTTCAGAGGCAGACAAAAGACAGTGTCCGAAAAGCAGGATATCTTCGTTCACATCATAGATGTCCAGAAGTACGGAAGTTCTCGGAAGTACCACTTTTTGCACAACTTTCGTTTTTCATTATGTATTTTAAATAAAAGTTTTTAATGATATTCTTTCATTATTTTTTAAAAATAACATTTGTATTTTCGAAGAATGCACATCTTTTAAATAATAGCCTTATGATGATCGTTTTTCATACTTTCTTAAATAGCATTTATTATTCAACAGAATACCCAGATGTCAAATACAATACTGTAACAGCTTTAAATATTATTAAAATCTTGTAGTTTAAATAATTTAAATAGATGAACATTAAGGTATTTGTGAATGGCAATATTTGAAACCAGACTCGAGTGCCACGTGCGACTGTCGCACGAAGAAATGTTAATTTATTTTTAAATGTTAGAATTCTTTCTTCTTCTTGTTTGGTATGTCGCCATTTGAGTGCTAAATAAAGTTTTTTCTGTGTTCCATCATTGGAGTTGCTTCATATTGCCAAAGAAGTATCACAATGCTTGGGAAAGTATATAATAATTCTCATATTTCATACTTTGGCTATAAACACCTTTTCATACATTTTTGGTAACATATACAAGGGAGAAATCTAGAAGGAATTTCTCCCGCCTTCTTAGCATGCCTTCGTGGTGTAATGGCCAGCACACTCGGCGCGTATTCGAGAAGTCTGAGGTTCGAGTCCCGGTGAGGGCACTGCTTATTTTTTCATGTCTCCTGCTTCGAAACAACCTAATGTCTCTACAAATCGATGTAACAATTTTGAACTACTGTTCTTCGAAAAAGGATTTACTTAATAATTCTACAAAATGATGATTATCCACAAAGGATAATCTTAATTCCGCGATTTGTTAAAGTATATTTCAAGAAAAGGAATATGAATTTAAGCTTTATTATATTCTATTCACTTTTAAATAAGAGTCACATATAATTTTTAAAAAAGCTTTTGTCATTACAAGAACAATTATAAATGCAAAAGTGTTTAAGTGATTTTTATTTCATTTTCTAAAATATCTTCTATCATTTTCTATAATTAAAGTTATATTAACTATTTGTTTTATTTTCAGGAGCTTACTCATAGTTAAGATAATAAATAATTTTATGTGTACCTTAGGACTGCTGGTATTAATTTTATACTGATTTACGAGTTGTTATTCATAACTCACAGGAGAAATAATTACAAAGCACACATATTCTCATGGCAATGGATTTTACTCTATAGACATATTTGAGATCATCTTTCAACATTTTTGAATTTTACTTTGTTGTGTTTTCTAGACATCTCATTTCAAACAATAATTCATAAAACGAATTTTATAATATTCATATACAATTATCACAATACAATTAATAATCGTAAGTAAAACTATTTGCAAATTGTTCAAATGTCAATTCCTTAAAGAATAAAGCACACCAGAAATATACAGCGTGTTTATAAAGTCCTGGACCCATTTTGATGTTTAATAACTCATAAAATAATAAAGATGAATTAAAATTAATAACATAAATGGTTAGATAGACTCAAAAAGTTTCATGACCCTTGTCAATGAATTTCCACGTGTGCCCCCTTCGTCGGACGGAGAACATCAAGTCGATATTCAATTTCACGCCAGGTACCGGCAAGCATGTCGGCATCCACAGAGGCTATTGCGGTTGTAATTCTGGCTTTTAGGTCATCCATGTTCGATACTCTCCTACTTTAAACGTTGTCCTTTACAAATCCCCAAAGGAAAAAGTCCAGCGGCGTTATATCAGGTGATCTGAGTGGCCAAGGAATTGGACCTCCTCGCCCAATCCATCTTCCTGTAAAATGGTCATTCAAAGAACTACGAACGATGGTACCCCAATGAGATGGTGCACCATCTTGTTGCAAAAAGACATGTGGCTGAAGCTCTTCTAGTTGTGGAAATACGAAGTTTTCCAATATGTCTAAGTATACTACTGATGAGACCGTCTTTTCTCTAAAAAAAAAAATAAAGGCTCAATGGCTCGGTCGTGCATTAGTCCACACCACACATGAACCTTTGGGGAAGCCCTTTGTGCCTCACGGTATTCATGGGGGTTTTCAGATCTCCATATGCGCACATCGCCATATGCGCACATGGCGATTAACAATGCCAGAATGATGCCAAAAACAAAAGAGAGAAAAGTGCAATTAATAAGCAGACGATATTTAGAAAAGTACAGATATTTAGACTGGAAAATGAAATTATCTGAAATTAACCAGACGCGCAGACGATATTTACAAAAGTAAAGATATTCAAACCTGAAAAGGAAAATATATAAGTTATTCCATCAATAAATGGCATAAGTTTGTTTAAATCTTCATTATTTTATGAGTTATTAAACATCAAAATAGGTCCGGGACTTTATAAACAACCTGTAAACAATAAACATCCATTATATTGAAAGAAAAACAGTAAAGGTGAGGAATAAATTTCTAATTAAGGAAAAGCAAATTTAAGAATCAAAGTTTGTTGTATTTAGATAAAAGTTACGTCGATAAGATTGGCATAAAATGAATTATGTATGAACAAGAATTAGTAAGTCTACCTGTAGAGTCATTAGAGTTATTTCGATGCAGTAGACGTGAATGAATGAGCAATGCCCTCGCCGGAGCTCGAACCACGGACATCTCGAATACGAGCCGAGTGTGCTGGCCAATACACCACTAAGCCATACGAAGAAGGCGGGAGAAATACCTTATATAACAAATAATAATTTAATTGTTAGCAGAAAATTAACCTGAATATTCGATTAAAATTATAAGAAAACAAGAATTCTTCAGTGAATAATAATTTTTTCCCTTTAATTTTAAACATAATTATTATTTATTAATTTTATGTTTTCTAGAGGCTTTTCGGGTTTAAAGAAATAATCACATTTTATAATTCAAGTAAAACCTATTTTATTTAGAAAAATACTTTAAACTCAGTTAAGGAATATCTCAGTAGCTTTTCTGTGGAGGGAATTGATACCAGATTCTTCGTGAAGTCATTTAAATCAGTAGTATTTACCTAATTGAAGTTTAATTAATTAATAAAAAACTCATTGATTTATTTATAATGTGTAACTCTCCTTTTTCTTAAGTAACTCTTGTGAGTCAAACAGTATTCTATTCTTTAGACGACGAACTTCCGTTATTTCAAGTATTTTCATGCAACCCGCATCAGTTTGAGGTCGTTGCCATATAACTAGCTTTAATGAGTTTAGCGCAGTCATAACGACATCATAATATTGCGACTTCATTTTTTAGTGGTCTGCATTTAATGTCTGAATCTCTTCAGCATTCAATCGCATTTATTTAGCTGTCATATATAAGGAAATTCAGTTTGGTTATATCCTTTTAGATAGATAGAATTCAAAATATAGTTAGTTAAACTGTGATAAAAGAGCCTATTAAAAGTTAAACTGTGATAAAAGGGTGTATAGGTACAGAATTTTAGCAATAATTAAAACTTTTACCAGAATTCAAATATTATTTACACTCAACTAAATAAGACGTATATATCTAGATACATAATTCCGAAACAAATTCCGTTGATAATTTGCCCGGCTGTTTGGTTTTGAGACAAAGATTAACAAATAACTTTGATTTGTAGAGTCATCAGGTTTTTTTGATGAGAGAGATGTGAAAAATGAACAATGCCCCCACCGGGACTCAAACTTGGACCTCTGGAATACGCGCCGAGTGTGCTACCGTTACACCATGAAGGCATGCCGGAAACAGGAATAAAATACCTTACAGTGGAGGCCAAAATTGTGGACACTTTTGGAAATTTTTATGTTTTTGAACTTTGTATGCTTATAGAAAATGTTACGTTTTGCAAAATGCAAACTTGTATATATCATTTTAAAGAGAATTTATTACTGAATTCAATACAAAACACAAAATTCAATTATTTGCAATAAAAAAAAAGTTATATGTACTTTAATATAAATAAAAAACACAGTTATGAAGTGGTTTGTAATGTTTAGCTTTCCTGGGCAATCACTGTTCTTGTTTGAAAACCAATCAAATGTTAGTAACTGCCAGTAGAAGCTGACATCATGTTTACACTTGAAACAATTCTTTATTTTGCTTTGTTCTGTAGAAGGAGAACCTTTTTCTTACACAGTGCAATTACAAGTAGGAATTTTTGTAAACATTTTTAATATTTAGTCAAGAAGCAATGACATCAAATAAAAGAGTAGCTTGGACACCTAGAAAGAGATGTAATATTATTGTGTTACGAGAAAGTGGTCTTTCCTATGCTGAAATTGCAAGACAGGTGGATGGTTCAGTGACTACACATCTGGAGTCCGAAAGTTTTGTTTACGATATCAGGAGACAAATTCAATAAAAAAACAAAGAAGGAAAAGGCCGAAAAAGGTGCACCACATCTATTGATGACAGAAGAATAAAACGACTGTGTCTCCAAGATAGAAAAATGTCATCAGCGGCCATCAGAAGTGATCTGAGTGATGCTGGTGTTTCTGTCAGTTCAAGAACAATCAGGAGAAGATTAACAGATGTTGGACTGTTGAGGTAGAATTCCACGAAAAAGGCCTTATCTTAATTTTCAGCAACGAAAAAAAAAAAAGACTACAGTGGGCAAAGGAACACATTAATTGGACAGATGATCAGTGGTCACAAGCTATATAAAGTGATGAAACTAAGATATCGTTATTCGGTAGTGATGGGCGAAAATATGTAAGACGGAGGGAGAAGAGCTACATCCTGACTACATTCAAGCAACTGTGAAGAACCCAGTTAGTGTTATGATTTGGTCATGCATGTCAGCAGATGGTATTGGTCGCCTTCATGTCATCGATGGGACACTGAATGCCAGAAAATACATTGACACTATTCTAGAACCAAAACTTCTACCTTCCATCAGAGATCTCTTTTCCAACAATGCTTCGTTTATTTTTCAGCAGGATTGTGCTCCTTGCCACACGGCCAAAATATCGAAAGAGTGGTTTCGTACAAAGAGCATTAACTTGTTGTCATGGCAAGGAAACAGTCCTGTTTGGTCAGGTGGGTAGGGCTGCGCCCTCTTCTGCTACTTATTATATATTTTATATACTCTTTTATTTTATATACTCCCCCTTTTATAGTACTTTTTCCTACTATACGGTTCTCAAAGAACAACTGTTCGTACTGCCGCTGGCTACATCTCAGAGGCATCCAAGTCGACAAATCCATTTGAATAGTCCTACGACACGAGCAATCATGCTTTTTGAACTCTCCCAGTTGCTCATCTCATATGCGCATAGCTCTTTACCCTTGTCTCATTGGCGTCGAAATTTAAATCATTCGCATATCTCTTACCAGACTACATTCCTACCGAGTTTCGTGCTTGTGGCTCGATTTCTTCTGGATGCATATATTTTTCTGTGCCAGAGTGTATATATTGCAGAGACATTAGGTTAATTCGAAGAACGAGACGTGAAAAACGAGCAGTACTCTTGCCGGGACTCCAACCTCGAACCTCCTGATACGCGCCGAGTGTGCTGACCATTGCACCAGGAAGGCACGCTAAGAAGGAAGAAATACCTCATACACCCCCCTTTTAAAGGGCGACTGGGGATTAGGGGACCCAGTCGCCAAATTCTGGTGGTGGAGAATCATCATCCACCATGCTTTTAGTTCGGGCGCCACTTGTAGAGCCATTAATTATTTTTGAAGTAGGAAACTGAAGAAATGAGCAATGCCTTCGCCGAAACTCGAACTTCGGACCTCTCGAATACGCGCCGAGTGTGCTGATCACTACACCACGAAGGCATGCTAAGAAGGCGGGAGAATACCTTATAATATGTTTGTATGCATATACACACCGTATAGATTTCACAGACACACCGTATTCACTTAAGTCCTTACCTGGTCTTTCGTTCGGAACTGTTGCTCGTATACATATGCTTCCGTTTACAAAAATGTTTTGAAATTCAGAATATTTTAAAAGTTTTTAATTAAAATCACATTTTAAATTTATGAAATCCAACTTTTACATTTTCCTCCAATGCTTATTTTTAAGGAGATTTTGTATTCATTATGAAATATAAAATGCAAAAGGTGTTTTATATTTAAAACACATATATTAATAACAGGTTTTATATTTAAATTCGTATAACAATGTTCTACGGATCATTAAGACAGAAATTCAAAATCTTGTTTAGTCTTCTGTTAAACGTTATTAGTATTTATTTCAAAGACAAAATTTATGCCTTTAGTGTTGGCAACATGCAACAGCCTTGATAGCAAGAAATAATCCTGAACACAGCACTGAGTAAAGGAAGAACACTGAGCAGAAGCCCATGTCATGAACCTCTGATATTAAGTATAAAAAATCTGATATGTACACCACATGACTTCCTTGTACGGAATATTAAATTACACGCATTTTTTTCTTTTATTTCATTTAAACTTATTGGATTGAATTAAATCTACTTCGCCGACAGCGCATAAACCACAATAGAATAAATGCATTCTTTAAAATTCACTCAGTATTTGTTTACCATAGCGACATTCTGGCGCTAGATTCACTTAACAGTATTATATTTCGTTCATATTATAACTCATAATGCACAAAATTTATATCATTTAAAGAATAGAATTATCTAATCGTTGCCACATGTTCTATTCAAATAGTATAATAAAGCTAGAATGATGTATAAAAGAAATTAAGCAAACAAAGCAAAAAAGGAACAGTTTTCCACAGACGATTGAGTATTTCTCATTCAATTAATTCAGTTCTCACTTCGCGAGAAGGCAAAAATACATAAAAACTCAAAATATCTATATTAAAAATTACGAAGTAAATTTTAATATAGATATCTATAAATTTTAATATAGATATTCCAGAAAGGATTAAGCATGATTTAATTGACAGTAATAAATGAAGGCGTTATCTTTGTTGTTGTGAAACTAAGTTACTCTAGATTAGCAACAAATCCACTAGTCTGCTGTTTCAAATGTAAACAATCAATGGCCGCCGTCAAAAGAAAACGCTTAACGGCACTTAAACAACTTTAAAATTGTTGATAATTCTAAAAATATTGCACACAGATTCACTAAAGGCATAAAAACCTTAACCGGAAGATAAAAACAACATAATTCAATCATTTTTAAAGCAAAAAATGTACAATTTACAAACATATAAGAGTAAGGAAACTGAGATCACTGAGCCGGGTAACAGAGTGGATATATATATAAATATATTTATATACGTTTGGTGCGGCCGATTGCAACCAAAATACGCGGTGCACATCTACATGTTATAGCAGTCCTATATACAAAATTTCAACGTTCTGAGGCTTCTCGTTTTGGAGTTATGCGAGATACATACGTTCGTACAGACACCACGAAAAATTCTCTTCAGAATTCATTTTAAAGCAGTTTTATAATTTTTTGGGAGGAAACGAGTCTTTTATTCTGTCCTTACGTACAGATATCACGCAAAAACATCGTTCAATTGCATTCGATAGCGGTCAAAATGGATATTTTCGTTGAAATATACTGCCTGAAACTTTTCGCGATTACAATACTTCCTTTTTACTTCGTACAAGGAAGTTAAAATGGGGCATGTTATTTTGGTTATAGGCGGAAACATCACGACAAAAACATCGCAGTCGAAAACATCGCGGAGAAAAATAAGCAAGACGAAAACATCTTCGTACAAAAAATATCGTGGGAGAAA